AGGACAAAGAACAAAGGAATACCCTGGGGCTTCTTGACTTTGGCTGTAATCTTAGACTCCAGGTTTAAGACAAAACTACAGGTAATTGCCAATACATTTCCTACTATTATAATGTTAATTTAACCTGTTGCCTAGATCCTTTAATTGTGTAACACCGTGTAGTTGTTGATCCAGTTGAAGTGCTGAGTAGCCTATTTTTATAAAATTCAAGCATAACTCATTGGAGACAATCAATGCTATGCTTACACTTGCAGGGTTGCCTTTCAAATGAGCATTTAGCAGAATACATCCTAAAAATATTAAAAAGCCTCGTAAATAAGTGGTATTAGCTTCCTTTTCCCCATTCCATAGAATTAAGTATAGATGCCGTCCGAGGTATTTAAAGGGAAGTTCTCAAATTTCCTTTATTATGATTTGCATCAAAAAATTAGCTTAATTTAAGGTTTCACTTTCAGAAGTCAATCATTATGGATTTGACCCTAAGGAAACTTTGAAGAAAAGTTGTAATCCGCTGTGTTTTCTTTTCTAAGCAGGCCCATTTCTCTAATTCAGACTCTCAGCGTCCACACACGGGCTACCCGTGGAAAGCGTCCTGGCACCGCCCACCTTGAGCGGATACGAATCTCAGACCTCTGCGGGTTGATGGACGGGTGTGCCCTGCGTGAAGCCTCGCGGCTGTCACCGCTGGACACTGGCGATTGGTTCGAGGGGAGCGGCGCGGAACCAATGGGAGCGGCGGCTCGGGAGAGCCCGTGGAGCGCGCGGGAACGAGACCAATATAAACTGTGGCGGGATTTTAGTTTTCAAGTCCTTGTCCAGCGAATCGCTCTCGGCTGGGAAATCGGTTCGTTACTCACATCTCCTCCCTTTGGAACATGGTGCGGACTAAAGCAGACAGTGTCCCAGGCACCTACAGAAAAGGTGAGGCGATTGAGCGCGGTAGTGGAGGTCAGGGGCGTCCTCCTTGCAACCCGGCCACCAGGGTTCCCCCGGGGCCTGTGAGCCAAACTACTCCAGCCGGCTAGAAAGCAGCCACCCGGCCCCTTTACCTTCAGGACGAATTGGCGAGGGCAGGGGAAGGTTATCTTGCTGTTCTGGGTGGCCAGGCTCGCCTCTCTAAGCCTCTGGGTCGGGGATTGGGATAGAGTGTGGCTCTGAGACTCGGTGTCCGAACCTTCCCTCCTTCTGAACGCCCTCTTTGACTCTCTTCGCAGTGGTGGCTTCTCGAGCCCCCAGGAAGGTGCTTGGTTCCTCCACCTCTGCCACTAATTCTGCGTCGCTTTCGTCAAGGAAAGGTAAGAAGAGCCTCTGCAAGATTGTGGAGTAAGAGACGCCTTCCTGAAAGGGGATCAGGCCTGGCACCTTCAAGCCTCTGACCTGCCATTATTTTTTTGAGATCCTCACACCCGAATTTCTTCCTTGCCCTGTGATATAATGAGGGGGCCTTGGCCTTTTGGTAGTATGGGGTAGAGGTAGGGTCTTATGAAAGAGAATCTCAAGCCTTGGGATTAGGGTTAGGGACAGACAGAATTTATTTGCAAACCTAGTTTTCTTTTTTGGTTTAGTGTTTGTATTTTTCTTGCTATTGTCTCACTGGATCGAGAATTAGAATGATGGCTGACAGTGCTGATCACATTGTCTTCTAAACAGTGTAAACATTTTCCTGTTTTTGTTACTGCATGTTTTTCCTTTCTTTCTTTTTTATTTTCTTTCTCTTTTTGAGTGTGGTGTCTGTGTGTTTTTTCTAACTTTTCAGCTCCTGATACTGCCTTTGGGAAAGTAGAAGTGGAACCCAGCAATGGAAATAGCTTCACACTGCTCCTTCTGCGTGTGGAAAGGATGAGAAAATG